GACCATGCAGAGACATGGGCGATCTTGATGGTAGAGCGGGGGGCGGGGAGGGGAGACATGGCTGCGCGAGCGAGGGGAGGGGAGGGAGCGTGAGGGGAGGGGAGGGAGTCTGTAAGTACGAGGAAAGGAGGGGGGAAAGCTTCATGTCTCGTGGCGTGTTACGGAGGTCTGCATGTCTAAAAGGTTTTAGAGGATATGGGGCGACTCCTTTAAATGGAGCTTTAGAAGGATCTAGAGCATGCTCTGTAAGGCTTCTTAGACCTAGACCTCCGCTGGGTCACGATGTGGGGATGCAAAAGGTTTTAGCAGATGTGAGGAAGGCTTCATATCTCACTGCTTCAGCGGACGATCAAGACCTGCGTAACCACAGGGTACTACACTCAGGACTACAAGTGTAGTCCGAGTGTAGTTACAAGTGTAGTCCGGGCCGAGTGTAGATAGAAGTGTAGTCCGAGTGTAATTCCCCCAATCCCTGTGGTCACGCAGGGTCTTGATCGTCCGCTGAAGCAGTGAGATATGAAGCCTTCCTCACGTCTGCTAAAACCTTTTGTATCTCCACATCGTGATCTAGCGGAGGTCTAGGTCTAAGAAGCCTTACAGAGCATGCTCTAGATCCTTCTAAAGCTCCATTTAAAGGAGTCGCCCCATATCCTCTAAAACCTTTTAGACATGCAGACCTCCGTAACACGCCACGAGACATGAAGCTTTCCCCCCTCCTTTCCTCGTACTTACAGACTCCCTCCCCTCCCCTCTCGCTCCCTCCCCTCCCCTCGCTCGCGCAGCCATGTCTCCCCTCCCCGCCCCCCGCTCTACCATCAAGATCGCCCATGTCTCTGCATGGTCCGTCAAGCGGAGCCCCCTCGCCTTCCCCTCCACGTCTCCCAGCCCAGACGACATCGCGACCACGGCAAGAAAGGCCGCTGCCACGCCAGCGCTTCTGCTGGGGAGCGTCATGGCCGCCAGGAGCAAGGCGGCAGGCTCCGGGGCGATCGAGCAAGGCAGCAAGATCACGCTCGCATGAGTGAGGGCCCAAGGCTCAGCTCCGCGAGGAGCATGTAGATAGGATGTAGGCATGTATGTACGAGTAGGTGTAGGGGTGTGAATGAAGACAAGAGCAAGAGACGTGCGCGACCCGAGCGTAGAGCTGCTGGCACGGGATCTGGCTGGTATCAGAGATGAAGGGACCAGGGTGATGTCAGAGCACCCGCCGTCATCATCTGCATCCAAAGTCGAGCTGTCTGCAGGCATCAGCCTGAGCGATGCGATCTGGCCCCTCCTCCTTCCTTTCCTTCGCCTCCCCCCTCAAGCCATCCGTATCGTATACACCAGGATCAAGAAGAAATCTGGACCCTCTGTCCCTTCGTTCTGCAGACTCACCCTCCTTGAGCAACCAACTTGACAACCGACCCTGTCATTGATCCACCTCGAACCATTGATCACAATTCTCTTGATTCTGATCTATGGGCCCCTGTCTATCCTATCCTATTCTACCCCGGGGAACAATGTTTTGCCAAGGCATTCATAATTTTGAGCGCTTTCATTTCAACCACATGACTTTCTTCATCTCATCTCATCGCATCTCATCATTTCTTTCTCATTCAATTTTGGCCATTCGATTTCATCTTTGTAACTACCGGCATGGGTTCCATAGATCAGGATGAGTGAGTTCCTAACATACTAACCTGCCTTCTTTCCACCTTCATGTGACGGGTGAGAGCAGGGGATCTCGCTGTCGGCGCTCAAGAACGCCATGCTGAGCTTGCAGAGCGATCACGTTAGCGGACATGTATCAATCAGTCATACTCGTGTTTTAGTTTGTCTTGGCGACTCAGGACTCGAGGCGTTGTTGGAGGTTTTGAGGTCATGCAGACAGGCTGATTTGCCAGGCGCATTCCCAGCAGATCTGATTGAGAGGATGATCTAGCTGGAGGCTTCTTGAGCTACAGCAGTCTACTCCAGCATCTACTCCAGCAATGTGACTCAGCTGCAATATGCTTACGAAGACAGACGGAAAACGGCATTCCTGGAGTCTCGAACAGCAATCCTTCATGTTGTCCAGCTGTCTTATACTTGCCAACCCCTCATGCCGCGCCATTAGGCTGATGTTGTCTGCCACTGTGGTATGGCATCCTTGACAGCACATACAAGCTCTCGTGTCATCTTTATTTCAGGAGATCATTCAATGCAATCTTAGCTCCTCTGTCCTCTCAGGCGTCGCATCATCCAATCATGTTCCTCCTTCCCTCCACCCCTTCCGCCTCCCTTCTTGTTACTCTCTACGGGCTTCAAACCCCCTCCTCCTCCAGTCCCATCCCCATGTACCACTCGATCCACCCTGCCTCAAGCCCCTCCCACAATCCCACCCCCTCTCGTGCCCCTCCCTCCAACCCCTCCTCCTCCTCGAGCCTTATCTCCCACCCTCCTTCATACTTCTCCTCCCTCTCATCGCCCACCTGCACAGCCCTCTCCCCTCCCCCTGACGCTGTTGGGACGGGAGGACCCGGCAGCGATGGCGCGCTGGCGGCGCTGACAGCGACGGGCTCGGTCTCCCTCCTCCTCCTCGCGTACGGCCATCGCCCTAGCCCCAGTGCCCGGCAAGCGTTCTTGAGCGCCGACAGCGAGATCCCCTGCGCTCGATCGTCACATGGAGGTGTATAGGAGGGAGGGAGGAGAGAGGGAGGGAGGGGGGGAGGTCGCTTACCAGGTGACGGGCAGCGTGAGCTTGGGAGAGGTGGGTGAGGGAGCGGAGGAGGTCGAGGGTGAGTCTGCGGAAAGAAGGGGAGGGTCCGGGGGATGGAGAACCATTGAGTGTCTTCTTGATCCTGGGGTATACGATACGGACGGTCTTGACGGGAGAAGGGAGGGGGGGGGAGGAGGAAGGAGGAGGGGAGGGGAGGGAAGGGAAGAAGAAAGGAGGAGGGGAGGGAAGGGGAGGGACAAAGAAAGGAGGAGGGGAGGGAGGAGACTGAGGGGAGGAGGAGGAAGGAGTAGAAAGGAGAGTTGTCATGGCAGTCTGAGAGAGCATAGAGGAGGCAGGAGGGGCATGGCTGGCCATCACTGTTCTCGAGGGCGAGCAGCATTAAATAGACGTAACAGCAGGCTGTAGGTCCGGTCCCGTGACCGGCTGTTGAGGGGGTAGGTGTATGATCCAGGGGGTGGGCAGGAGCTCTAGAGGGTGTGCTTCTGACCGCTTCCATCCACTACCCCACCCCCCGAGCCCCCAGAGTTTCTATAGTAACTACCCACCCTCCGGGGCACTTCCATACTACGGCTGCTGGTGGCCCCTAAACGTGATTTTTTGAGACGTAAGTGTATCTGAAAGAGTCACCGGATGTCCGAGGCTGTCAACCGTTGAGGCTCCTGCACGGCTCGTGCCCATCAATCTTCAAGCCAGCCTTTTGACTGCACCTTGATCACCGTGGCACCCCCTCGGACAGTGACTCCGGTTCTCGGCGTGAGGGGCCGCATCGAGGGCAACTTTATGATAGTCGGTCCGATCGGTCACACCGGTGTCAGTTAGCCTAGTAGGCGGCAGCGGCGGTAGGGCCCGATCGAGTCCGTCGGTGGTCGGACTACACTGTGACCGTCGGTGACGGCGGGCCTCCGGCCGTGAACCGGTGACCGGTTCACAGTGACGGTCACTGTTATGACAGCCCGGACCCGCCACTCCCGGTCCCGGACTGACTGACTGCCGTCCGATCATCCCATCCGAGCGGGCCCGCCGGGCCTGCCGGCGGCCTGGCCGGGCGGCCGGCGGCCGGGGTCCGAGTCGGCTGAGCGGCCGTGCGGGGCCCTCTTCCCCACGCATACAGTCCTCCTGATCAGCATGCTGATACATGCCCTGAGGCTGCGCTGGGATCTTCAGCTCCTGCACCTCCACCTGTCCCCTATCCTGCTCCTGCTCCTTATCCTCCCCTGCCCCCCTATCCTGCTGCTGCTGCTGCTGCTAGTGCTGTTGATGCTGCTTCTCCTGCCCCTGCCCCTGAGCCTACATCTATCACTGCTCGTGCTCCTGTTGCTTCTCCTTTTCATCCTCATGCTCCTGCTTCTGACCCTGATCGACTGTTCGCAATGCTTCAAACTGTTCGCTATGCTTCACCCCTTTGATCCTGGTGCTTCTCCTGCAGCACTTGCTCCTGAGCCTGCACCTATCACTGATGCTGCTGCTGCTGCTGCTGCTGATGATGATGATCCTTTCTCCGCTGGTTGACAAAGATAGGATCACTTTTTACATGTTTGGTGATTTGAGTGCGTTCATCTTCGCGCACTTATTATTTCATCCTGTTTGTTTTGCACTTGTTTGCTTCTTTCTGCACCTGTTCACTTCTTCAATCCAGGTGTTCGATCTCAACGCCAAGTTGAGTCTTGACATGTCCGTTCAAACGCGCTGCAAGATGCCTTCATCATCTTCGAGCAACAGCTTGTAGATTTACCTCAATCTTGTTCATTGGTGATGGATTTGCTGGCAGGATTTGCTTGATGCTTTTCCTATTGATTGCTCTGAATGATGTTCAGGTATGCCAGCGCTGTTTGTTTTGTTTAGAATTGAGATCTTCTTTCATGGCAGAGGATTTCATGCGCGGCAAATGATCAGTATGCTGCAACCCAGGTTTGATCAAATCATTGTGCAGCTGACACGCTGCGATGTGAATCAATACTTTCGTTTGAACCTTACCATCTTCACTTGTGAAATCAGCATCTTTCACTCTCAAAGCATTGCGGTGTGATTTCGAAATCCGCACCTGCTGTCAATCTCAATTGTGTTGTGTCAATGCTTCAACCTCCTTGACTCTTCTCTGCTGACTTGCTCTCTGTAAAGGTCGTTGATGACGATGAAGATGAAGAAGAGCTTGATAAACCTCCATCTGTTCATGACGACATGAGCGATAAAGGAAACGAGAAAACACGAAAAGATCCGCCTCATGTAGAACAGACGCCAAGAAAAGAGCAGAAGGTATGAGGCGATGATGGAGATGATGATGATGATGATGATGATGATGATGATGACGACGACGATGACAATGACGACGACGACGATGCTATTCTTGTCATTGTTGTCATAGTCACCGTCTTTGTCGTATTGATGACACAAAGTGGTCTATGACAATCATGTGATAGTGATGCCGAGCGAATAACATTTCTTTTCTGCTCTTCGTCAAACAGGTTGACGACGTCGAGTTTGACCCGGAGGAGTTTGAAGGCTTCGAGCAAGCAGCTCCCAAGGCAGACGACCAGCAAGCAGAGTTGAACAGAAGGATGGAAGAGGCGAGGCGAAGGATGGCGATGATGAAAAAGAAGGTGAGGGCGGGGGAGGGAGAGGAAGATCTTCTTGCTGCGGAAGGTATGGCTCTGACTGCTCTGCTAGGAACTCTGGGAGTATTACCCTGAGATGATTGCTGGATTGATTGTGTTGGTGTACGTTCTGAATTACGTCCGAGGAAGGTTGGTTCCCTGTCGACTTCGATCTCGTACTTTTCACTTGCTGTGTTGTTGATTCTTGTCTTGCTGCCAGTTCGAAGAACAGGCAAATCGCCAACGGCTGGTTATCTGTCTGTATCAACAGGTTGCAAGACAACTTTGCGCTGGTACGTGCAGTCATCGACAGTCGTTCCTACTTGTCAAGCTGTCAGTTTCTTCGTTCATGTCATCACTGAACATGACAACACCTCCTCGTCATCACGTCGCATCCTCCTCCTCCTCCTCCTCCTCCTCCTCCTCCTCCTCCTCCTCCTCCTCCTCCTCCTCCAATACCACCACCACCACCACTTTCTCCTCCTCCTCCTCCTCCTCCTCCTCCTCCCCCTCCAGTACCATCACCACTATCACCATCATCATCATCATCATCATCATCATCATCATCTTCTTCTTCTTCATCATCATCATCATCATCATCATCATCATCATCATCATCATCATTATCATCGTCATTTGCCTCTATGCTCTTCCTGCTCGTCCTCCTCCTTGCCGTCATTCACCATCACCTACCAACAACCATCTCCTGCTGCTCCTCCTGCACTACCAACACCACCATCTCGTTATTCACCGCCACCACCTCCCCCTCGTCCACCACCACCTCCACCACCTCCACCACCACCACCACCACCACCACCACCTCCTCCTCCTCCTCTCCCTCTTCCCGCAAGCCTGTGAGAGTCCTCGTGGCAGGTTGGGAAGGACAACGATGAGGTCCTGGTGAGAGACAGCGCCTGCCATTACACGATGTACTGCAGGTATGGAAAGGGCAGGGAAGCGAAGCGATGGGATGGGATGGGATGGGATGGGATGGGTTGGGGAGAGGAGGGAAGGGAAGGAGGGGAATGGAGGGAAGAGGAAGAGAAAGAGGGGCAGGGAGGGAAGGGGAGAGGAAGAGGGAGAAGCGAACAGGAGAGGATGGGGAGAGAACGAAGAAGAGGCAGAGGGAGAGAGGGAGGAGGGACAATATTGGTCGTACGGGCTAAGGGAGGGAGGAGGGAGGGAGAGACAGGAGCTGACTAGCGTGTAGCGGAAGGGTTAACTGCGAAAGCGTTTCAATCTCTCTCGATCTTAAACCCAGGTGCTTCTCCTCCTCCTCCCCCCTGCTCCTGCTCCTGCTGCTCCTGCTGCTCCTCCTTCGTCCTCCTGCTTCTTTTTCCTCCTCCTGCTCCTTTTGTGCTCGTGCTCGTGCTCGTGCTCGTGCTTGTGATCCTCCTCGCTCCTCTCCTCCTCTCTCACATCCAGCAGGCAGGACCTCTTCTCCCTCCTCTGGGAAGTCTTTCAGCCTTTCGGGAGCGCAAAGTGGGAGGACACGGTGACGGTGGACGTGATGCTGGGCAGCGAAGGAGAGACGGGGGGGATGAAAGAGAAGTTCACTCTCGCAGTGCTGCAGAAGAGCTCTGAGAGCAAGGTGAGGAACGTGAGGAAGAACAGAAGCAGCTCAAGGAGGAGGAAGCGGGGGCGGGGGGCGGGGGGCGGGAGAAGGCGGAGGAGGAGGGGCAGGAGCAGATGTAGATGTGATTGTAGAGTTGTAGACCTTGAACATCTCACTTTTGCTCTGCCTCTCAGGTGAGATCTGAAAATAATGATCTCGAGAGTGCAATGGTCAGGCGATGGAAGACGACATTGCATGACTCCTTCTCCTGCATCGCCGACGACGAGGAGATCCCAGTGGACCTTATACCTGATGTGGTGCGATACAAGTTGTGTCCTCGCCTGTCCTCTGCTCTGCTCTGCTCTGCTCTGCTCTCCCCTCTCCTCCTTCTCTGCTCTGCTCTGCTCTGCTCTGCTCTGCTCTGCTTTCCCCTCCTCTCTGCTCTGCTCTGCTCTGCTCTGCTCCCCTTGCGCCCATTCACATCTCATATCACCTCATTGATCGGCGTCGCAAAGTCTCATTACATGTCTTCGACCATGACAGGTTGCAAACACCCTCAACGACCACCGGCAGTACATCCGCCTCATCCACTTCTCCGACAAGATGATCGTGGGTCCCATCAACCAGCGCGAGCAAAGATCGTGCTTGAGGTTTTCCTTCTTCCTCCTCCCCGATGATCGACACGCGGCCAAGGTCAAGTAGAGGAGGGAGGAGGAGGAGAGGTACAGGAGAGTGCAGGGGAGGAGAGAGGAGGGGAGGGGAGTGTGAAGAGATGTGAAGGAATTAGGAGCAGCAGCAAGAGGGAGACAGAAGAGTTGGGCTCTGTGGTAGTGGGATAGGAGAGAGGACAGAGGAAATCAAGGACGGGGATGGGGACGTGAGGAGAGGGGGAGGAGGAGGAGGAGGAGGAGGAGGAGGAGGGAGGGAGGGATCATGGAGGAGGATGGAAGGGGAGGAGGAGGGAGGTGGAGAGAGGAGAAGGTGGGGAGTGGAGGGGAAAGAGAAGGAGGATGGAGGGGGGAGGGAATCGAGTGGACGCTGACAAACTGTCCGTCAGGATGGAGGAAAAAGCAAGTCGGACATGGAGAAATTGAGAACCTCGGAAATTCTCCTCGAAATCTCTTTTGTCTCTACTCCCGGC